CTGGCCCTGCTGCCACACTTGTGCTGACACACGCCAGGATGCTGGTGGCTTTCGTTGCTGCCTTGGCACAAGCTGCTTATGTTCAGCTGGCTGTAGTTAGACAGGGGATGCATAGAGGAAACAGGAACATAGGAACATAGAGCCCAAAAGCAAAGGCAGGATCAATGAAGGATTTATCTGGGAATATGAAAATGCTTTGAACAATGGAACCAACTCTTCTTCTTTTCCCCTTCATTCGCACAACGAAGCAATTTTAAATTAGAACAGGTTGTAACAGATTTAATTTAGATCACCATGGTGCCTGGTGTAGTGCCACAGCTTTCCCCAGTTTATCTTTTTCCCTGATTTTAAAGGGCTAACCAGGTTTTACATCGTGAATCTGTTACAGCATGTATAGCTGCTAGACTGTCCTGACCAATTCGAGTTCTTTTTCTGCTGCCCCATGATTAATTCTCTTAGATAAAACTACTGAAATACAACCAAAGGTAGAAATAGAAAGCATTTAAGTGCTGTACAGCCATGATTTACTCTGCGGGGATGCATTTAACGCTGTCTCCAGCAGAACAGCTTCATCCGTTTTCCAAACATTCATTTGTTTATTTCAAGATTAGTCTCAGTTATAAACAGACATTAAATCACCTCCAGGCCCTAATACGTTGTAATGAAGTATTGTAAACCATGGGCTATGTTGGTTTAAACAATGTAATCAGAAAGCAACAATCCCGTTTTCTCCTGGTTCTTGCTGGCTCCCTGACTTGGTCTCTCTATTCAAAGAGGAGGTCTTTTTAGTCTGTAAATGTCAAGGTCACTCAGAGGTCAAGTTTGTGCTTTTGAGCCGTGGTTCCTTTCAGGTTATTGCCTTTGTTTTATTACTGAAAGGAGCCATCCATTTTGGCATATAGAGCAAAGGAGTCATGTAATCCGATTAAAGACAAAACCAACAAGTCCGAGTAATGGGGAGGGGTTGACAATGGCACAAAACCCCCCTTTTTCTGCCCACGGTTAAGCTTGTGCTGAGTAATTAATGGTCCTTCTATGAGCCTGTCTACACTGGGAAAAGTGCCTAACTGGTTCTCAAAACACTCACTGGAAATCTGGTTACAAGCATGGCCCAGGGCCCCTTTTAGTCAAGCTCATGTCCTTCTACTGTGATGCTCAGGCACAGAGGGGGACAGAAGCAGCTACCTGTCACCTTCCATCTCAGAAGGAGCCAGGCACAATCCTAGGCAGAGGGTCCCTGGAAGCAGAGAGACTTGAATTAACAAGGAAGAAGGAGGGAAACATCGGTAGGGAGTTAAGGATAAAAGGAGGTTATTAGAAAATACACTTGCTTTGTTGGCAGTGGAGAGAAGAAGTGGAAAGCAGGCTTACAGCATGCAGGTTGGGATGTAGCTGGATCATTATGTACTGGGCCTAAAATCTAGGACATGAAGAATTAACTCCAAATATATCACCGATTTCCTGATGGAGAATGTTTGTGCATAGTGCAAGGTCAGTAGAAGGAAAAATAAGGAAGAGGAAACAAGATGGAACCAGAGGTTAAAATGGAACAAATAAAGCGCAGGATCATTTAAAGAACACTGGCCTCATAGGGGTATCTACACAGAGGTAACCGAGGGATAACGGGATCAGATGTAGGCTATGGGCTTGCAACGCTGTCAGCTCTACTTGTCACTTCTTTGAGGACAGTCAGCTATGGAATGTGAAAGCTACTGAGGCTGTACAAACCCCAGGTTTCATAAACAACATTCATAACATTATTTTCACATCCCTCAGACAAGCATATAGGTTATCATAACTTCAACATCTCTGTCTGCTGGCAAGACAAGACATTACTGTCCTAGAGCGTATGCAAGCATATGAACTGACTGGATCCGTTACTAATAGAAAGAGACGAGCTGATTGAGAGCGCAGATAGCAATTGCAGATAAGATGAAGAACTGCATGAGATGTAGGTAGGAATTGCAGAAATGAGCACCAAACCAGACATGTGATTGAGCATACTAAACGTTACAGAAGTGGAAATGGGAAGCACAGTAATCTCCATTCTGCAGCTTGTGAAACAAGCCTTACAGAAAGCCAGAGTGTAAAACTTTGCAGCCTCTCACACTGCAAGGGCAGATAGACAGTAAAGATGCTTGGAACTTCAGTATGGAACAGGTCCAAGATCTTCAGATAGCCTTGTAAAAAGAAGGGAAAACCACTGGCACACGCACTAGGGAAGGACCTCACACAGGACTGCTCCTTAAACACAGGCTCAAGAGGTTTCAGCAGGCACTTCAGCAAGAATGGCCTCTATAGTGGTGCATCAGACTGCTCAACAGCAGTCTGGAAGAAGCCTCACCCAACCCTGGGTTTTCTCCTTGGGTTGAGCATATCTTAAGGCCACAGGTTCAGCTGAATAATTAGGGCTGAATTTATGTTCTTGTCTTCCTTTGTTCCCAGCACAGCACACCAGAAGTGCAAAGAAAGTGAAATACACCCACAAGTCCCCATGTGGGGATTTCCTCAACTGACAGACAACCAGTGCAGCTCCTTTGCCTCCCTTGGGGGTGCAGAGGAATTATCAGTGTGGCAATGGCCAGTACCACTGCTTGCAGGTGAGTCAGTGTCACCTTTCCTAGAATTGTAGAATAAACCCCTCTTGTTGTGAAGGGCCCAGAATTGAGCACAGCTTTGGGACTCTGACCAAAATCCATGGAGTTGAACCTGTCCTCTCAAGGGGGTTTAGAAGAGATGTCTGCACAATGAGAGGACATAGAAGCTGTAAAATATATACCCAGAGAAACACAAAGTCTTGCCTTGTCATCGTTAGAATACCCGAATGAAGTGAAATGGATTCTGCAGAGAGCAACTAAAGCAAATGTTGATTTGAGAAACCTCTTTTCCCTCCCTAGATGTGACTCCCCATGTTCCATCAAGCTTTACTAGCAGGCTGGCAATGCTGTGAGTGCCACAAAGAGATGAGCCTTCTGGTCCCTAAGTCATCACTAAGTCATCTGGTCCTTAGCTATCACTAATGGGCTCGAGGGAGGTCGCAGATACAGGAGGACAAGATGGTACCACACATGCCTAGAAGAAAACTTTGGAGACTTTTAGAGGAAAAAAGAGTTCCCTATTTGCACCATTAACTCTCTTTTCAACAGAACAGACCCAAAGGCTGAGACTTTCAGTCTCACAGACCTAAGCTTGCATCTGGAGGTTTACACTGAGGTTGTCTGGGGGACCCTCTGCTTCATTTCCCAACTCCTGTATTTGTTTGGAGACTCACAGGCTCTTTGAATGGGATGGAGATGGTTTCTTCATCTCTAGGAGTAAAAATTGTCCATCAGAAAGCACACTGTAAGAGTTCACATGTCTACATATCCCTGAATTTACTGATCATCTGCTGCCCTTCAGCTGCTGCTGGCGGCAAAACCATCTCAGCTATAGAGCAGATTGGATTTCCTGCACTATCAATGTTGCTACCCTGCCCTATCAGGGTCTCTTGCAGCTCCCTGTCTTACTGCAGCTATAGAGTAACTCCATCACATTTTCTGCTTTCTGTTTTTCAGCCTAGCTCTCACCTCCTCAAGTGTTCTGGGGCCACCAGACAAAAACACTGGCACAGAAATGTAAACGTGCTTGTCTTCAATGGTAATGGCACTCCCATCACTATAAAAATGTGAAACTATACAGCTTATTTTAATTTAATGGTGCAAAGTTCCCTACATGACTATAAACAGAATATACTGCACATACTGGCCATATAAGCCTTGCCACTTTAGTTAGTATTTTTTACATCATGACAGCTGTATTCGCACTGTTTCAGGGGACAGTCTGACTGCTGTCACATAGGGAAGAAACAATTCAGATACAATGTGACCTGGAAGTAACAGGTACATATAATCATAGAATCCCAGAATGGTTTGGGTTGGAAGGGACCTTCAAACTCATCCAGTTCCAGCGCTTGCCTTGGGCAGGGACACCTTCCACTAGAGCAGGTTGTTCAGGGCCAATATGAAATAGAAAACAGAGAAACTGCTGCAAGAAGGGGGATAGGATGACTTGGGATGGTTCTGATCAGAGGTGGCTGCCTGAGGTCACTGAAATTCACTACATGCACTGAAAAACCTGAATCTTGATCTCAGTTGGCAGAGTGGTCTTGGCCATGCTGCATACTGTGGTAGGGAACTGCACTGACTTAATCACATCTGTATTGAGGTATTACCCTTCTGTTACAGACAACTTGAAGTTAGGGTGCCAGACTCTGTTCTACGCTCCTCACACATCTTTTCCATAACTGTTTACCTTGATCTTTACAAGAGTTTTGCATACAATTAGCTTCATTTTTCCTCATTTTGCCTCTTTTTGCATATGTCAATTTTACCACGTAGCATTTTTAAAGCCAAGCAAAAACAATTCACAAAGACTGGTGGGGGCATTCAACACAAATCAGAGGAGGCACTACCTGAAATCTGTTCCTATCTTTCACTGCAGCTCAAGTTGGCAGTGTCTCTGTAAAGGCAGTTTCAATTGAAAACTGTAATGAAATTGAATCTGTATCTCCAAACAGGGCTGGGTATTTCTTTCTAGTAGTACAGCAGCAGGACATTTACAGTAAGGTGTGCTTCTTCATGCAGCAGTTTTGAGCTACTACCACCGGGAGTGCACAGAAACCAGGAGGACAAAACTTCCTCCATGTCACTCAAAGCTACAGTCATCTCCAGCGGGGCATAAACCTTATGGAAAGATACTGGTCTGTCTTTAAGACATAACACAGTGCAGACTTAGGAGACTTGGTTTCATCTGTGGCTGCTTTCCTGGATGATGTCGGACCACCTCTGTTCCCCAGTTTACCCATCTGCAATATGGGGACAGTGTTATTGACCCCTGAGTGTAAGACCCTGTCTGATCTACTCATACAAAAAGCTGTCACAGAGTGAGTGGTTCCAAAGGTCAGAACAGCTCAAACCACAGCATCAGCTTAAAACCTGGAAATGAGTCAAAAAATTAAAAGATGAGATTTTCACTCATGTTTGATAAAGATACACAAGTGTTCTATGTTTATGCAGTCATCATTAACAAACGTATGGAATATAATTTACAGATGTATATACCACACACATTGTACGTTTATACATAACACGTCAGTGCATTCTATAAAGCATTTCTTCTTTTCTATCATGTGGAGAGCCCCACAAACTGGAGCGCTGTTCACTAGGATGTGATCCCGCAGGATGGTCCATGTCACTGTATCTCTCACATGCACATGCAGATGCCCACAGATTGTTCCTGACAGCATGAGAGTGTAAGTGCCTCATCCAAGAGGAAGGGAGCTGACACAAAGCAAATGAAGCAAAAATGTCCCCTTTAAAGCTCCCAGTGTCTCCAGCTCACTTTCCTCTCTAGGGCTTGCATATGGTTGCAAAACAGTAGTAGTGTCATTGAGAGACAATCTCGGAGTCGTCACTGTTTCTAACTGTCCCATCTGTAACTTCTGGACCAAAACATTCCAAAGCACTTCACAGGCTTCACTTTGTTTCTGAGCATCCCTGCAAAGCAACAAAAGTAAATGACTGACTAAATGCAAGGGATTCAGATGATACCAACTAGTTTATTAGGGAAAGAGGCAGCAGTGTCATGCTGGAATACTCACAGACTGAAATGAAGAAGCAAGGAGGTGACCAGTGAATACACCAGAACAAGGGGTGGCAGAGGGTGTATTTGCCAGTTCTGGAGATCTCTGTAATGACTTTTCTTTATTTTCAGGAAAATAAACTTGAACTAAGCAGGTTACAACCTCACTTATAAACACTCCATTCCACATTATGGAGGATGCCAGGTTCTGAGACCAAACTTGCTTCGAATTCCTGTATCAGTAACACTATATGGCTCGAAATCTCCTCATTAAACCAAAATAAAGCCTATCCAACCAACTTGAATAATTAAGATCTGGTTATCATTTTGTAAGATAGCAGTCACAATTCAAAATTCAACCTAGAAACAGGCATTGAGAACTAAGAAGTTGGATGGACATCTGTTTGGCTGTTGTGACTTTTAAGATACTTGCATGAGAGTGATTATCATTAGAATCCTAATGGGGTTTTTTTGTAATGACTGAGAAAGTTGGGGTTGTTCAGCCTGGAGAAGAGAAGCTGCGTGGAGGCCTCAGAGCAGCTTCCAGTGTTTGAAGGAGGCCTATAGGGATGCTGGGGAGGGACTCTTCGTTAGAGACTGTAGTGACAGGACAAGGGGTAAAGGGTTCAAACTGAAAGAGGGGAAGTTTAGATTGGATATAAGGAAGAAATTCTTTCCTGTTAGGGTGGTGAGGCACTGGAATGGGTTGCCCAGGGAGGTTGTGAATGCTCCATCCCCGGCAGTGTTCAAGGCCAGGTTGGACGAGGCCTTGGATGGCATGGTTTAGTGTGAGGTGTCCCTGCTCATGGCAGGGGGGTTGGAACTGGGTGATCTTAAGGTCCTTTCCAACCCAAACTGTTCTACAATTCTATGACTCCAGCTGTTGAACAAAGGTATGCTGCCTTCTACCACACTCACACCAAATTTTCTTAAACATTAGCTTTCCTGGAAAGGCCACAAATTCAAGGTAAAGCCTCCTGGTAAAAGCTATGGTGTTTGGGAAGATAATGACACAGCAGTCCTGGGTCAGAAAGGAATGAACCAGGAGGATGATCCAAGACCTCTATCGCTTCTAAACTTCTGCAACTCTTTCATTTCTAAATCAGCCCAACTTAGAAAAACACAAAATTCATAGAATCATGGAATGTTCTGGGTTGGAAAGGACTTTAAAGCTCACCCAGTTCCAACCCCATGCCATGGGCAGGGACACTTTCAAACAGAACAGCTTGCTCCCAGCCCCTGTGTCCAACCTGGCCTTGAACACTGCCAGGGATGGGGCAGCCACAGCTTCCCTGGGCACCCTGTGCCAGCGCCTCAGCACCCTCACAGGGAAGAGCTTCTGCCTTAGATCTAACCTGAACTTGCCCTGTTTCAGTCTGAACCCATCGCCCCTTGTCCTATGGCTGCAGTCCCTGATGAAGTCCCTCCCCAGCATCCTTGTAGCCCCCTTCAGACACTGGAAGCTGCTCTGAGGTCTCCACACAGCTTCTCTTCTCCAGGCTGAACAGCCCCAATGTTCTCAGCCTGTCTCCATATGGGAGGTGCTCCAGCCTCTGAGCATCCTCGTGGCCGCCTCTGGACTTGCTCCAACAGCTCTCAATTCATTAGTCTCTAACAAGAACTGGACAGAGCAATGGCACATACCAGAAGACATTTGTTGCTTTGCTGCTCTTTCTAAGTGGTGGGAGGCTTCAGGAGGTTTCCAGCTAAGCCACCCTGGCAGCTTGCTGCTGCAGCAGCTCCCTTGGACCTCACCAAAATGGCAGGAAATTAACCCAGACAGGGAGAGGGAAGAGCCTTCTGCCTTGGTGAGATGCACCAGCTCCACGGGGCAGGGAGGAGAGAGCAAGGTCTCCCTCTTCTGACAGCAAGCGGGCGGCTGAGCCAGCCAGGACTTCACCGTGGCTTCAGGGCTCCCGTTGCTCATCACTTATCAGTGCCGAAGTGGTGTTAAACGGCACCGCGACAAGCCCATAGAATTACTCTGAGGTTTAATACTGTAATATGGTTTGTGACTCAAAACCAGGCAGATTGATACTTAAAGCCTTGAAAATTAGAAGGAGGCTCAGGAAAACTGAGAACATAAATTAAGGCTTTGTGCTTTTGATGGACACCAGTTGATGAATTGCAGGGTACACAAAGAATGCAGTGCGGCTGTAGCCAGGCCCCCAGTTCTCTTGAGGTGTTAACCAAAGCTAAATGAACTACTTGACTTCATTCAGAAGAGTTTTGTGTAGCTAAACTTGTTACAGCAGAGGAAGACGGGTCCAGTTTGTAGTATGTGAAAAGGCTGCTTAAGAATGACTCTCTGTTTGAATTTTAATAGGACATTTGCTCCTGTTTTGAGAGTTACAGGACAAACCTGAGTGTTTCAGGTAACCCACGTCACACCTGGCCAATTCCACATGGAATGGTTTGGACTGATAAGCTGGGCAAGTCCAGAAGCTGAGACAGACCTAGAAGGGCTGCGTTAAAGCCCACTGCTTATTTTCAAAGGTAATTTTGGGAATCAGAAGCAATCTGAGCTATTCTGGGTTTCAGACCAGACACAAAAAAACAAACTGAGGCAAGGCACATGTTGAGTTGTGGTTTTAATTCTATTTTCAACCTTGTTTCTATGACTTAGGACTCCAGCAAGCAAACAAGCCAACCATTGAATCCCAGACTCAGCACAGCCTTTGCACAGCTCAGCACGGGCAGTTACAGTATCTGAATGGTATTTTGCACTTAAGTAAAACTAAAATCAGAAAATGGCTAGCTGGCTGGGAAAAAAAACCCTCCAAAAACCTTTCTCTTGATGTTTTAAGCAACTGAGACCTTTGCTGTAGCACAAAGGAGTTTAGTAGCCGATGGGTGACATCATACTTGTTCACTCTTGCTCCAATCTACACTGCAAATCAAAGCAATCTCATAAAAGGTTAAATTATTAAGAGCAGTGGCCCGGTGGAAGTGCCATGCAGCCAGGAAACCAGGATGACCATAAAAAAGAAAATTAAGCTGCTGGTAACCATTATAATGCAAGGCTGAATCCCAAACGCTAAAACCAAAGCCCTTTTTCTGTTCCAGTTATAACCCTTCAGAGTGCTGTTGGCTTTTTTCTCCCTTCTCTGAAGGCAGAAGCAGGCCCTGTAACCACCCCTGTTTCGGTTTCTCTCTTCCCAGCCATGGTTTCTTACACTAACTTGTCATTGCCCGTGAGCTTGAACAGAGCACTGCGTAAGCTGTATGCATCACATAGCTGCTCCCAGGATGCAAAATCCTTCCCTGCAAGGGAACATTTTGGTGCAGTCTAATGCGAAGTCTGAGCTCCAGGGAGGCAGGACCGATGAGGAATGTCACCGTGCCGTTTCTGTACAATGAAAGACGAAAGAAAACGGTGATTTAAGTCAACCAGGGGCAAAGCTCCGTGACCACAGCAGCAAGTTCCTACAGGGCTCGCTCTATGAGAGAATTAACTTCCACATTAACGCGAGGCGCAGCAGCCGAGGCCGCGGGCAGCGCGGCAGCTCTTACCCCTCACTGGGCCGAGCCCCTTCCCGCACCGAGCCGAGTCCGTCCCGCACCGGGCCGAGTCCTTCCCGCACCGGACAGAGCCCCTTCCCGCACCGGGCCGAGCTCCTTCCCGCACCGGACAGAGCCCCTTCCCGCACCGGGCCGAGCCCTTCCCGTTGAGACCGCGCCTCCACCGCAGCTCCCACTGTCCGGCTCCGGCGCCCCGGCGCTGTGGGAGACCCCTCGGCAGCATCGGGAGCCCACCCCGTCCTCCTCCTCCTCGCCCCCATCCCCTCACCGGCGGGACCCCCCCCCAGCCCCAGGGCCCTGCGGCATGCGGGAGCCCTCGGCAGCCCCTCGCCCGCCTCCCTCCGACTCGCGGCTCCGGCCGCCGCTGACAGGTCTCCGCCGGCGGCCCCGGCACCTGCGCTGCGCTCACCGCGCTGAGAGGAGGAGCCGCCGGGCCGGCGGAGCGGGAGGGAAGCGGCGGCGGGCGGCGGGCCCGCGGGGTGGCGGGTGCCCCTCAGCCCTCAGCCCGGCCGCGGCGCCGCCGACACCTTACTTCCTGCTTCGCTACCAGAGCCATCGCGGCGGAGGGATCCCGCCGCCTCCCGCAGCCTCCTCCCCCTTCTGCTTCTGCTTCCCCCCTTCCCTCTCCCCTGCGAGGGAATAATTTGACAGCAATTTGCTGACACCGGGGTTTTTGGGTGTTTTTTTTTACCCTTCTTTTTCTTTCCCTTCCCCGCACCGCGGACCCGCAAAGGCAGCGCGGCGGCGCGGGGAGGCCGCGCTGAGGTAAGTGCCTCTGCCCGGAGCCTCCGCCTGCGCCGTGCGGGGTGCGGCGGGCGCCCGCTCCGCTCCGCTCCATGTGCCGCCGCCCCGGGGTGGGAGCGGGCAGCGGGGCCGCGCCGCGCCGCGCCGGGCCGGGCCGGGCCGGGGGGGGAGTATGTTTCCTGGCGGAGCGATATTTGTTTACAGGATGAGCGTCGCACTGTAAGTGCAGTAAGGACCGAGCCCGGGCAGCTCTGTCATCAGTTCATATCGCGATTGCGCCCTGCTCGCCGACACACGCCCCGCGCTTGCACTTGTTGCAGACTTCCCCGCCAGGTAGGGCGAACGCGTCGCAAGTTTCGGTTTTGCAGGAGCCGGGGCTGCGCTGGGAGGGAGGGGATTAAAAAAAAAAAAGAGAGAAAAGGGGTAAAATAGAAAGTTTGCAGTTTGCGGCTCACTTTCGGTGTGCAGCGCCCGGGAGGCGAGGCCCTGCTGCTGCCTCCTCCTCCTCCGCGGCCGCCGCGGGGTGCCCGGTACCTGCGCGGCCCGGGCGGGAGGATGGAGGGTGCGGGTCCCGAGGCGCCCCGCCGCGGCGCTGCTCCCGCTCCCGGCCACGAGAGCGGCGGGGAGGCGGGGAAGGGCGGCTCGGCGCGGCGCGGCGCGGCTGGGCGCGGAAGTTGTGTCCCAGCGGTGGTCCCACCGCCCCTCGGCCCGGCCCCGCCGGCGATAGCAGAGGCAGGCGCGACCCCTGCGCTCGGCGTCCGTGTTAGGGATGAGGCGGCCCCCGGCTCCCTTCCGTGCGGCCGGGGGAGAACTTGGTGTGGATGAACGCGGGTGTCTGCTCCTGATGGGTGCTGGGGGGTGCGGGAGGGCTTTGCTTTATGGCCCGTCAAAACGGGGGGGAGTGAGTAAGGGGGGAACGAGCAGCAGCAACTCTTGGCCAGGTGTTTAAGTACCAAAGAGGTGATTTGCAAGTAAGATTAATTGGCAGTTAACCAGTTAATAAGTGGATAATGCCTACTCATCCTTCTGCTGACTTTACAGAGTGGTTTGTGCGGCTGCTGGTCAGCTAGGCAGGCTTGGCTATCTGAGATGGGAACTTGGTGGGTCCAGGAGAATCTGACCCGTGCCGGCTGTCCTAGTGCATCAGCCCCGGTCGTGCTTCAGGTAGCTCCTGCTGAGGCTTATAGGTGTTTGCAGCCTGATACGATAGTGGCAAAATAAACACGATGACCCGTAACTAAGCTATTGATGAAAAACGATGCAAAGTGCTTCACACCGTGAGGAATGTTTTGGGCAGGTAGTCACTGGGGGAGAAGTTGTGTCTCTTTGACAGCTATAGTTTGACTGTAAGTATGGGAAGAGGGGAGAGTTCACCCAGCAAGCTTGAGCCTGGGCTGCCCTGCTGCCCATACCCGCAAGCTCCCCGGACCTACACGGTGTAGGATGATGTGACCCGGCCTTGCAGTGTTGGTGTACATGCAAACCCTTTCTGTTTGCTGTCAGCTACTTGGTGGTCTTGTTTGGATGCTAACTGGGATCAGAATGGAGCCGTTTCCTTAATGCATCTACCTAGAAATAGCCCATTGCACTCTGTTGAAGTGGCAGGCCTTGATGTGCCCTGGTTGGTATGTTACCTTTTTCCCTAAGGCTTGTCTGAGGCACATACGTAACATCAAAGGTGCTGCTTCTCCAATGCTGTGTCCACGCATCATATGCATTGTGGAATTTAAGCTATGCTGTTTTGCTTAAAGGAAACAAATGTTGTAAGGGCATAAGAAACGGTATGCAGTTTTGGTGTCCCCAACATCAGGATGATGTGGAGCTGTTGGAGCAAGTCCAGAGGAGGCCAGGAAGATGATCAGGGGCTGGAGCACTTCCATCTGAAATGGGCCTGCAACGATGCTGGAGAGGGACCCTTCATCAGGGACTGCAGCCATAGGACACGGGGTGATGGGTTCAGACTGAAACAGGGCAAGTTCAGGCTAGATCTAAGGCAGAAGCTCTTCCCTGTGAGGGTGCTGAGGCGCTGGCACAGGGTGCCCAGAGAAGCTGTGGCTGCCCCATCCCTGGCAGTGTTCAAGGCCAGGTTGGACACAGGGGCTTGGAGCAAGCTGCTCTAGTGTGAGGTGTCCCTGCTCACGGCAGGGGGTTGGAACTGGATGAGCTTTAAGGTCCCTTCCAACCCAAATCAGTCTGGGATTCTATGATTAAATGTATTTGTTTACAATTTAGATAAGTGATTTTTCATAGAAAGAAAATATGTTGTCTGCATTTGTCTTCTGTAACTGATACTCTGATACAGTTTGGAAAAAATTAAGGCTTAATTATACCCTGCTCAAAAGTTCTGGCACAAATCAACACTTTTAGGATCTGTTCTGCCACCACCGATAAGTGCCTTGTGTTTCTAAAGCTGGGATGCTCCAGAATGGATCTGAGCAGCACTGTCGGCGTGGCAGCCAAACCAGCGGTTCCTGAAGAGCCAAGAACGCTCAAATTCCTGCACTTCACTGTGGAAGCTGGCCTAAGTGAGGAGTATGGAATCGGCCTCTTGGTGAAATAAGGCCAAAGCTTAATCATACTGCTATCAGTGCATGTCCTGCTGTTGGCATCCCACCGTGGGAGAGAGGAAAAGAGGCCAGGAGGTAGCTGGGTAGGCATCCTGCCTCCAGTGTTTGCATCACCCCTGCTTGGCCCAGCAGGAGCATAAATAAACCACACTGTGACTAACCTCTGCCATTGACTCGTGTTGTATTGGGCACACCAAAAAGGTCTCCATGTCTTACCCACTTAACGTTTCTCAGTGTTCACGTTACCACTTGTGACCTGTCTCTGAGAATACTCCACTATGCATTTAAGACCACAAATGAGTCCTTGTGTGAGGTTTGTTTCGCTTTTTGGGTAGCGCTCAACTAGTCTAGGTAGGTAAAAGGAATTCCCGGATTTTAAACTCCAAGCTTGATTACTTCTTTTGTGCTGGCCATTCGAATTCTCCCGGTGGTACAGTGAGGCTTGCCATCATAAACTGAGCTTCTAGCTTGGGCTTTGGCAGGGAGTATGACAAAAGCATAAGAAGAGCAGTCCTGTTGTACCCAGTAGGTTTCCTACAGCAGTAAGCTAATGTTTTGCTCTGAATGTTTTCATTGTATTTTAATCTGTTTTTGTTTGCTCTAACCAAATGAGGAATGTGTCACTTGAAAACTTACTCAGCACAGTGCTCAGGAAGGCTTTTCTCTTCCAGTACTGCAATGGGACAGTAGTAAACTAAAGCAGAAGGGCTCTGTGATCCGTGATGGCAGTACTGCAATGGGACAGTAGTAAACTAAAGCAGAAGGGCTCTGTGATCCGTGATGGCATTGTGAGATTCTGGGAGGTTGTAGCTCACATTTTTATGCTGTGTCATCGTAATTTGCAAGATAAGGCAGTTTCATTTGTGAAAATAAGAGTAGAAATATGTTTATTTAGGAAAAAGCAAGCAACAGTTAATAGAGATAAAATAACTGTTGATATGGAAACAGGCTTTTTTCTCCCCTTGTGTTTTTTTTCTCGGGGGGGCTGCATAGCTTCCAGTGAAAAATTACCATCAGAACTGTTATGTTTTTCTGTCCCTAAAATTAAGGGATCTTTTTGCCTCCCTTCCACCTGTAAGATGTAGCAGAAGCATCTTTGAGTGCAGGTGTGAATTCTGCCGTGCACTGGGCTATTTACATAGCCTGGCTTCATGGCACTGCTTAGAAGAGCAGATTTACTCTACTCACAGAGTTACTGCGCTTACACTTCTGCAAGTGTGAGTATTTGTAGGGTGGGGTGTGAGGAGGCTGCGCTTGGAACTCAAATAAAAAAAGGCAGCAGCAAATTCCATACGTTTTGATGCATTTGGAGTTCTAAAACATCTTCTTAACTTGTCCAGCTCTGAGAAACCTATTATTGTAATCGATTGCGGGGCCGGGAGGGGAAATGGGGCCTTCTAAGATAAAACCAAAAATAGCACATTCAAATATATTTTAAGAGAAGCGGCTCTTCCTTCAAAGAGTAGGGCTGAGCGTGGCTCAAAGGGAGGTAGCAACAATTTTATCAGAGTGGGTTTGCTCTGTAACTTTTAGCTTGAAACCAGACAGGGTTAAGAAAATCCATTGTATTTGCTTCTGAGCATCTGTGTGCCAAGTGATCTTGTAGAGCTGGGGGTGCGGGGTGTAACTCCTCAGATCTGGAGATGCTGAGGACAGGGACTTTGCACCATCACCTCCTCGCTGCTGCGTTGTGTCTCCAGGTAGCGCATGGTCCGGCGCGGCCGGGAGGACGATGTAAGTAACACAGTCTGTTGTCGGGTTGCATTGGCGTTGGTTCCTGTTGGATATTGGTGTCTGTGGGCAGAAGGAAGGGTATTTGTGACAGCAGTTCATTTTCTCTCTCTGCCTTGGCTGTGTTGCTCCGTGGTGGCGCGGGCTCATGTGGCCCTGCTCGAAACAGCAGCAGAAACTAAAAAGACATTGATTTGTGTGGGGAAAACCTGGTTATTATGCTCAGGTTACAACCTGCTGCTGCAGGAACTCCAGGGCAAATGCATCATTGATGTGACTTTCTTCTCAAGAGGATAATGGTTTGGGGAACCTGGCACATGCTTTGTGTTACCCTGTAATAGGGACTGTAAAAGAAGTTTAAACTCTTCATATTAGAGCGGGGATGTTGCAGGGGTTTGGAGTTGTGTAGTGCTGGGTGTATTTTGAGGTTCGGAGTGAAATGAGTCTTGTGGTTTCAGC